TTACGTGTACCGTACAGTTAAGTGTACACGTACCATCCTGTACATTAAATATAACCCAGCGTCCGCTAGTCGAAGTGGCTCCCTCGACGGTTACGATGCTCTCACGTCGACCAAGGGGATCGTGTGACCAACGCTACGGGCTGTCGATGGAACCGCGATAGGGGAGAACGTCCAAGAGGTGGTAAGAGTCGATGGATTCGTGCCTCTTGCCGTTTACACCCTCTCCGCCCCGCTTCCAGCCCGTTGAACCGACTACCTGTTTCACCCCTCTTTGTCCACGTCCCTCGTAGCTAAGCTTTCATGGGATTAACGAGTGGTCCGAGTAATCTTATTAAATGGTCGCGTTTAGCGTGCTTTAATTGGTACGCCAGCGATTCGCTACGGCTCTTCGGAGTATCGTTAACCTTTTAGATTCGCATCGTGACCGCGCGAATGGAGCTTGCGAAGTTTGGCGTCGAGTGAAACTTATTTTTGAAATTTTGGTAATTACATAAAAGACGTAAAAGTATTTTTCACGGTCTGCCTTCATTCTCGATTGCAGTTAGGTAACGAACGAAAGGAATTGAAGTAATTTTTACACAAACAACGTTAGTCAGTTAATGAATTAAAAGATTTATTGAATTTTATAGTACATTATTCCTAGCGTTAATCCTCCAGATTATCCGCAGATCTTCATATTTTCCTGTAAAAATGGCGGACGAAATTTATATCTTGCATCGGTTTAATAGCTCAGTGGAAAAGACACGACGCGTCAATCGCATGGTTCAATTAGCAAGACAAGTATAATTCGCAATTTCGAAATTTTTTTATTCCAAAACAATTGTGTTGACAATTTCCTTTATCACGAATTTTGGTAACTCTTCGGTTCTTCTCAGTCGCAATGTGTCCGTAAACCGTCCGTAATTGGTACCATCGTTACTCAAAGATCCTGACAAATATTTATTTATTTCTTGAGATTGTTCGAAAGGGTAAATGCATCACGTCAGTGGAGCTCGTGTAAATCCTCGATTTACTCCCTTCGAATTCGTTACAACTCCTTCTATCTCATGGATATTTATTGCAATTCTCGCGGATCCGCTTGAAACTTGCAGAAATCTGCCGTTATTTCCAGCGAACTTGATCTAACCTACACCAATCATCTCCGATTCATGGGATACTACTTCAAGTCGCTCGAGATCGCAGCAACCTTCCTCTGCTACTATATCGAGCTTCAAACTCCTCCCCAACACTTTGAATTCATCGATGCCCGCCCTGTTCGGTCACAATCTACTTGAAACAGTTCCGATTGACAACATTTATCGCCCAATTTAGTCGATAACTTGGAAAGGTGATACTCAGACTATCGATTCGTTTCCAGATGTACGTGCCTGTTCCTTTTCTCAGCTTTCGTATTTATAATCAGCCGGTTATTGAACACATATTTAATAGCAAGCCGCCAGTTCCACCGAATTTCAGTTTGTTGATTTTTTATTATAGCCCATACTCGACTGTTTCTCGGCAACGAGCATTTACGACATCGAAATGTACGGCCATTTGTTATTACTGGAAAATCGAGGGCCGATATTTAGCCGATATTTAGCCAATATTTGTGCAATATTGGCCTCGCTTCTCGTTGATATCGCTTACCCGTCTATTCAACCTGTCGCACAGACAAAAAGAATTCTTCGTCTTGGACTTTAAACGCCAGTTCCCCAACACACACCAAAATGAATAAGAGAGAGAGAGAGAAAGAGATGAACGAAGGATGTAATTCCTCGAAATATAACTTCTTCCAATGAAACACGTTATCTTTAGATCGAGATTGAAATCCAATAGCGTGTCCTTTATTCCACTAGAAGTTATTAAAGCACCTCTGCTATTGATATCATTCAATGAGACGCAATTACAATCGTCGAAATTTCTAGCAGCTGCTCTAAGTTAAACACCATCAAAAATCGAACGATTAAGAACCGTTTTGTTATTCCAATTGTTTCCTAAAATGATTCACCGTGAAGAAACGTTACAATGATTCCACGAATATTGTGTATTCTATTATCGCTTCACCGATGTGAATAATAATAGTCGTGTTTCGTTATAGTATTAATATAATGTCAAAATGTTTTTAGTATAAAACACGTAATATATTCATAAAATATATACGAAAATCTCGAACAAGGATTTATAGTACATTTTGGTCGAAATTGAATCAACTGTAGAGTATGGTTCTACGATCGATCGTTTTGGTACACACAGCTTGCGGATATTTCGTCGGGGCAGATATTTCCTTTCGAAGGCCATCCAATGTTGAATACAAGAAGCACGTTAGGTTTCTGAAACTTCTGGAACAGTGTACCTTACAAACTGCTTTTTCTCGAGATGTGTTCAATATGTTTTGGTCTCATGTGCAAGGTCTCCAGAGAATCGTAGTTTTTCAAGAAATTCCTGAAGCATGGTGTTTTCCTGATCGATTACACGCGTGCATTCTCACACGTTGATCAGGTTCGCTACTTGGTGATTAAAGGGCACCTGAAGCTTCGTCGACCCCGATGTAACAAAGCTCCCTACTATCGATACATCCAGCAGGGGAGCATTGAAAATAGAATGAGGGTGTCGATGCGCTCGTCAATGAACAATCCAGACGTAATGTACATCTTTTTCTGAGCGAAAAAAAAAACAGGATCGTGCGTTGTTTGTTCGTAACGAGGGAGAAAAACAACGCGTCCGTACGGCGAGCCACGATAAACCGCATAACGAATCGACTGTAAAGCGATGGCCTTCCGATCTCTCGCGTTACGCACGCCGCGTTTTATCTCGTTAATACGCAGAAAATTTTACAACGCGTCCGCTTAGCAAAAGCTTCGCTGACGGTCGTGTCATAATCGAGATCCGATAATGGAAAATTTGGATAATCGAATCTCGGTTAACCGAGACGTTATTCTGCCGGGTCTCTCTCCGCTGGAAATCCGGCTGTGCGAGCGTGAACGTTTTAACGTCGTTCGATGCTAATCGGCGAAATTTATTCGCGTCAAAAACTCGAGCAGCCCGCGGAAAGATGGCAGTTATACGTTTTTATCGTTCTTAAGACGTTAGGAATAGTTAGGTTCGACCCTCGCGAGATTAATGGCACAACACGTGCCGAGATAATCTTTAGGACAATCAGTGAATTTCAGATTTCGAACGTTCACGACGATTGAATGATGATATATATTTGTGCAATCGCGTTTTTATTAGTACGTCGTACTGTATTTCTTGTATTTCGTGAACATTCCAGTATGCTTCTTCAGGGAGCACCGAAAGATTTTCCGTCAGAAGATAGTAGTAAAAACACGAACTACAAACGTATCAACGAGTAGATTGTTATAATTTTTCTGCGAGCAAAGATTCCTTCAGTTATACAATCTCGTTATAAATGAAACTCTGTCTGGATTAACTTAGATACTTTAAAACTTGTGCGTATTATATCCTGTACTATTATACAAATAATTTCGTTCGTTGTTAAAAGAAAAATCCATCTCGGAAGGGTTAAGTCTGGTTTACGATGTAAACGTGATTTTGCTGCTATTTTTGTAGTTAGAATTTTTATACTTATTTTTATCTATTTCTTTCTACTTATTACGAGAACTGTTACAGTTTCGAAATGATAGATAACTCGCTTTAACTGAGAAGAGCAGCGCAGAAAATTATACAGTTCAGTAATAATCATAAATCATAGTACAATCGTTCTAAACGTTCCAATTCCACAAGAATGTCCGCAAGAAAATTCTTCTCTTTCGATGTGTCATAGGTCGAACCACTGCTCGTTAAGGGAGTGGGTCGGGTTAATCGTACTTGGTGAAAAGTCACGTCAACGCTATCGACGACAATTCAGCGTCTCTGACAGGTCGAGTCGATCAAATCTTGGAACGCTTCGGCGAGGAAGATGGAAAAGGTGTGGGGAAAGTCAAGAGACCGTACATCCCTCGGAGGACTAGCGGAGTTTCCAAAGAAAACAGTTGCTGGTGACGAAGTTGATTCGATGCTTGTAATTCTTCGAGAATCCAAACTCGAACGTTTTCTTCTTGCTTCTACTTTCCGCCTCTTTCATTCTGATCGTTTCATTGGACAAAGAAGCGCGGTAATTTAGATCGCTCGTGATACCTCGCGATATTTCCTTGTCTTCCTCCTTTTTATTTCACAGTTCCACCCTATAAGAAGTTTAAGATCCTGCAACTTCTTCCGTCTGATATTTGCCGCTGAGAAATTCTTTGTATCATTTACAAGAAACTTTTCAAAATTGTCTGGTCTTACTGAAAATATTTCTTCCTGAAACAGGGTAGAATATTAATCAGTGAAAATCTTTCTAAGGGTCTGTTCGCAAGACAAATTTTTGATCGTGTTTTTTAACGTTTAATGAAGCTTCAATTGATGCCAAGCGTTTGTGTGTAATAGACAGAGAGAGTTTCGTAACGCGAAGCCAAATTACTCGTAAACTGTTCCTACGAGAAAATGTTTCAAATAAAAATTGAATATAAATCATACGCATTTTTACATGTGTATTTTTATGTGTTACATATATTTGAACGTGTCTAATAATACAGAAAACATTATCCTTTTCTATTGTTCCAATTGTACCAACTATATACGAATAGGTTATCTTTTTTTCTTCTTCAAAAAGCTCTGCAATTACTCTCACGCACACATTCACGAAATACCTTATCTCCATTCAGAAAACCAGAATACCTAAATAATGAATATTCAGAGTATTTATCTCCGTCATTAATCCCGAATCGCTTGCACGGTGGTTCGCTGGACATCTCGGAGTAGATAAGGCGTTCCAAGGATGGGTGACGGTGTAGGTGGCATCGTTGGCCGTGTAGGGTGGCCGAACACTCGAGTTGTCGGGGGTTGTAGAGGGAGGATGGAAGGTTGCCGCGAGGCGAGCCGAGTTAGCGCCTGCGTAATACCATCTCTGTCTACTTGTCAGCCAAGCAGAGCTGCCACCACCCTGCCCGCTTTTCCTCTCGCCGCTACTCGATAACAAACTCCACAGTACCAGTACTGGCACGGTACTCCGGACCACCGGGTCGCTCGAACATCGCGCCGTTTCCATCGGGAACCGTTTTCACCGGATATCGATATCCGTGTTTACGCGACAGCGCATCGACGGCCGACGTTCGACTCGGGTTTAACCGGATCTGAACACGATTTTCGACCGGGTGCAATACGATCCAGCGCTGGATCTGTGGCAAGTCAACGCATCACGACGGTACATCCTTTCGGTTTTCCTGTGACAAATGTCTCTCCTTTAACATTCCTAATGCACGTTTCTTCATTTATTCCGATTCGTTACAATTCACGTGATTTTCGATCGGACGCGCACGATCCAGCCGTGGATCCGTGGCGAGACAAGGCGCGATGAGCGCCCTTTGACTTTTCTTTGAACAATTCTCTCTCTCCCTTAGCACCCTTAACGCATGCTCTTTTTTCTTTTTTAATTTATTGTAATTTGTTAGAATTCATTCGTTTTTCGAAAGGTTGGATCCAACACTAAATCCGTGACTCGTCCGAGTGAACGCGTCACGACGGTACGTCGCTTCGATTTTCCTATGACGAATTTCCCTCCTTTCGCATCCCTGACATAACGATTTAATCTATCTTAATTTGTTTAAATTTATTTGTGACTCGTTATATGACGTGAAAGTTTCCAAAGGATCGAACAGATCTAGCGCATTAGAAGGAGCGTTTTTGTTTTGAAACTTTAAAGTTTCTTTCCAATTCGAATGAATGCCTTAACGATCGACGCGAGGAAACGGCACACCTCTCTGCTGATACGCTTGTTATGGTGTATAACTTGTTGCTCGGTCCTGCACCAGTCGCTTGGATCGCTACTGTGATTTTAAATAAATCGCGAGTCGAGTGTTTGAATATCATGTTACCAGCAGCCTCGTACGATATTCCTGTGATCTATCTATTCTTTCATTTTTGGAGGGCCATTTATGGATTCTCGTTGAGAAGTTCGATAGAAGGTGCGAGGAGAGGAGGATCGACGAGACAACGAGGAAGGGAAGAATCACAGGGAGTTTTCCTCGTGTTAGACGAACCCTCTCGTTATTTGCGGCTTAGGATGACCGATAGCAAACACGTTCGTTCTATCTTCGATATTTGCTCATTGGATTATACGCTTTCCCTTCCCCCCTGCTTCTCCTGAAGGTCCAAGGAAGATCGAGTTTCTGTCGATCGAAGGTTCAGTGACACGCAAACATTCGCACCTTTGTTGGCATTTGGGAACTCGAAACTCCTTTACAGTTTCAACTTCAACAAAGAAAAGAAAGAGAAGGAAAAAAAAGGGAAAACGTAGCTGAACGTTTCTCTCGTTCCCCGATTTGCATACTACTCCAAATGGACAAACAACTCGAAAACTTAACTGCATGGAGAAACTCTTGAGTTGTTCCTTGAAAAAAAAAGAAAAATAAAAATAAAAGAGAGGATGAGAAATTGGTGTCCATTCAAACATAGCTCGATAATGGAAACAAATTGGCAAGTCTCGGAGACGAGTGTCGTATCTTTACGATTCCGTCGCTCGTTTCCTGTTCTTCATTCTGTGTCTCATCTCAATCGAGAAGTTTAGAGATTCGTGGATCAGAAATACTCCCACGGAAATGAAGTTTCTCTGAGCCCTGGTTCTCGTCATTTCTGCATGCTCCCGTGGAAGAGGTTATTCGCTTTCACCAACGCGTTTCAATGTCCATCTACGTCAAGGGAATAAAAGGTGCACGCGAAGAAAGCGGCAGTGGCTGATCGTCGCTTCGAGGTGAGATCGTCACGGGTTTCAATTTCACGCGTGGAAATATCGTGGGCCGTAACTCGCGCGTTCTTTCTTCTATCTCGTTCCTCCTTTCTGGCTTTCCTTCGTCATCCCCCTTTTGTTATTCTCGCATTCCGCGGGGAGAAGTCGATCCCCTCGTGACCGAGCCCGCCGACAGATTGAATCTTTCGTTCGCAGATCTCTCGGTCGTTGGCGAACGCAGCCCGAAAAACGAAGGGATCTACTCGAAAAAAGAAAGCGGTCCACTTTTCGTTTTAGTGCGAATGCCGCTTTATCGTTGCGTTGTTTCTCCCCCCTTTCATCCCTGTCACTATTTTAAAATGGAAATCCGGAATTTTATCGCTACTCCTTCCGCTCTAAATTCTGTCTCGTTGCCTTCTCTGCTTTTCCGTGTAAGTTAGTGTCCTTTAAAGAATAGAGGGTGGACGTTCATTTTACACGATCGAAAGTTCCATCCTCCACTCGGCTTTAATCCTCTTTCCTCCTTCCGAAAGATTCGATTTCGAGATTTAGCCGGCCGATAAATTGAATTTGTTCTGAGTTGTCCACCGGAAGGGATGTTACCTCTTCGGTCAGCAGAGGTTTTGCCATCGTTTCATATCGCGTTGGGAACGTTTGATGTCGTAAAGCAGGATGTGCATTATGATCGAATTGGTAGCATGCGACCGTGTGTCCACGGAAATCGCGTTATCATTGAAATTCCGGATCTCCTTGGGCCGGTTGTCACCGTGAATCGCCATCGAAATCGTTTTCCACGTCACGCCTTTGATCGTGAGCTCCACGCTGAAATCTAAATTCTACGAACCACCGAATTTCCAGCTATTTCTCTGATCACACTGATATCAGACCGATTCCTAGATCCAGTCAGCTGACAAATTGAATTTTTCTTGGCTGTCTCTCCGGCTGAAGCGGGCGTTTCCCTTTTATTTATTAAAATCCCTAGATCTGACCGAGGATCTCCTTTCGTTTAACCAATGGCAGATAAATCGAATACAGCAAACAGCTGGATCAGGGCTGTACGGTTTCTTGGTTCGCTTCGAATCGTCTGGAATCGCTCCGAGAATTAAGCAATTACGGTTTCTTTCGACCGGCATTAACCTGACCTCGATCAATTCTCGCTCCCTGCAGCTTCTTTTTCTCGTCCATCTGATTCTGAACTATCTCTAAAGCTCTCCCTCTCTTTCGTTCTGGGCCCGACTAACCGCAACAACATTGTCTAGAGTTTTCCCATTAAAGAGACACGTCGCTGCTGTTTGCACGCGATGCACTGCTTCCTCAAATCACCCTGGGCGGACTCTGCTATTCACGCGAACAGACGATGACACGCGTCGTAATTACGGGATGGTATTTACGTTTACTAGTTCAAGTTCCACTGCAACGTTTCGTTTGATGAAACAAACCATTGTTGTTCCCTGTCACCTGAAAGCTTCGGACCTTTGTAACACAAAGTCGACGATTAATCGAAAATTCGCGCATCAGATGGCGAAAATCGATCTTATCAGAATCTTCTTAAGCCATTAAATGGTCCCTTACGAAATTGAAACAAAGCCAGAGCGAGACACGAAAACTTATTATTCATTTGTTTCATACGGTGAGCGATAGAAATATGGCTATTCCTATTAAATAAATTCTTGCTAAATTACGTATAATTTACTAGAAATATCTTGTAACTTCTATATTTATTTTCAGATTTATTCAAAACTTTGCCTATATAATCATGATAGTCGAGTGTTGTCACAACGAGACTAATGAAATTGCAGAATGTTTCGCGCAAGACACGCGATACATCGTCGTTGGCTGTCATCTGAAATCTTCGAACCTTTCTGCCACGACTTCGGCGATTAATCGAAAATTCGCGTATCTAGCGGCAGCTCTCGTTCTCATTAAGCTTTCTCGTTTTCTCTGACGTTCCGATTGTTCGATTCTATCTTCGATAGGTTTCGTATCTACCGAAAATTCTATCTGCCAAAGACAGACCACCTGATCTGCCGCCTTCCTTTCGTTTCGATTCCGTAGAATATTTGATCGCGAAACGAAGGAAATGCATTGACTTCTAACGAGCCTATATTTCCTTAGGCAGTTTCCTTTCCTTCTCCTGCTAAGGTGGCGAGGAAATTTCTCTAGTTGCAGTTTACTGGGTCAATGGTGAGTATTATTCGACCGGTTGGTCATTCTGTGACTTCCCTTCGCTTCTTTTATCGATATAGCTGGGTGGGAATCGATGGACTATGAAGAAATTGAGAAAGTAATTCTATTCTCTACGATATTAAAAGAATGAGATAGTATTCGAACCCTTGCTCACATTCTTTCTCAGATTTATTAACACTATAATGTAACTTCGCTATCATTCTTATATCCGTAACGTTTGAAACAAATACGAAAAAATATATAGAAGTTACAATATATTTAGTATAAACGTATATTTCGCAGATATCAAGAAAATAATGAAGCAGTTAATTATTCATTGTAATAGTAATAGGTTTCGATATTCAGTTCATCGAATTTCTTCATTCTATCACTTCCAGTTTTAATGGTTATTCGTACGGTAAATCAATTTTTTATTAAATATTATACGTTTGTAATAAATGTTTTGTAACTTTTATATACATTTTCAGATTGCTACAAAATTTTACTAATATAATTACGAAATTCTTTTCTCGTTAAGGTGGCGACGAAATTTCAAAATATTTTACATAACACGTACGATATGGATATAGGGGTTTTCTATGGTGAATTGTTCAAATACTTTCGCGATGTAAGTTTCGCTTTTTTACTTTCATATAGAGTTCTTCGTCGTTGTGGCCAGGCGATGCTGAAATTTCTCTGTTGTAAGTGGAAGAGATTCTTGAGGATGTTCTAGCATCGTATGACTTCGAGATTCCATCGTAGTCCACGAGATTCTTTCGTCACGTTATTCGTCGAAAGAATAAGAGAAATATTCGATGTGCTAGCGATCGTTCGGTCCTTTGTTCGCCTCTCGCTGGCGATTATTAAAATTTATTGGTTTATCGAGCATGATGACTCTCGCTCGGCAGAACGTAAGGTCGAAGGATTAAGAAAGGTCGTTAACAGGGTCACCTTTATCCTCCATTGCGTGCTGGAAATACTTGAATAATTCTACGCAATACGTTACATAAGGTGTCGTAACCCGTTTGATGTTTCTGCATGCAGTTTCATCTTCCTTTCCTCTTAGAAAACGATAGAAACAAGGACATTATAAAACAACACTTTGTGGAAGAAAATTTTCTGAGCGATGCTCCTCTGAAATTCTGAAGTCTTCCTGGAATTGCTGAATCATAGCGAATCTTTCGTTTTGAAGTATTCATATTTTATCGAATTTTTAGAAAAAATGTCTCATTTCAAAGTAAATCGTAAACAACAGGAGAGGAACATATTTTTGTTAATTTGTTGATTTTTAATATCCTTATGGTTCGTTTTAATATAAAACAGCTGAAAGTGGAAAGAATCTGTCAGATCCAGCCAAAGGCAAAATCGTTACAACAAACGCTGTTTTAATGTTTATATTTATAAATAATATTTTAATACTCGGATAAACAATATTGTCTAAACTATGAGATGCACGGAAAGCTACATTACGTTCAGCCTGAAAATCAAATAAAAAGAGAATACTCGTAACACAGGTTTTATCGACAATATTATATTCTACTAAATTTTTAAACCGTTGCATTGTAAAAAACGAAAAATGTGATTTATCGTATATTCTTCGTCTACGCACTCCAATTATTTTGTATATTTCTAGAAAGAAATGTTTCTCGTATATACAGGGGATTCCCGGTGGAACGATTCTGTTCTATTTGCTTTTCATTCCGCTTATTAAGCGCGGTCACAAATTTTGCTCTTGATCCTCTTATCGGATCCAATTCGGTCCGGCGTCTTATCGGCCTACAAAAATTCCCGTCGCGGTGCAAGGACTTCGTCCCAAGGAATGATTTCCTTAATCCGCGGCTAGGAAAGAGAAGGAAAAATAGAAGGAAAAGGGAAGAGGTCTCGGTAGTCCATTGTCGTCGGCGATTTTAAATCGTAGCGAGTCAATTAATCCGCGCGGTCCTCCTTCCTGAATGTTGAATAACGGCTGCCGACGTGTATTAATTGGAACTCGATGAGAGGATTAAGGACTAAGTGGCTGGCTGACCTTTTCCTCGAGATGTCTACCTTTTTCATCGTTTCACATTGCTGGGTTCTGCTTTCTTTCTCTCTCTCTCTCTCTCTCTCTTTCTCTCTGTATCTTTCGTTTCGACGAACAAGCTATCATTAACTTTTTCTTACCTGGTCGATGAAAATAAGAGGAGAAGAGGAAACGTAAAAATTAATTGCCGATGGAATGTTAGATCGTCGACTGGGACGTTTCGTTATGAACAAAGATGGAGCAGTTTGGCGTGGAAAGTATAAGATTTTGAAATCTGGGACAAAGTACGGCCATTTCTCGAGGAAGATCTCGAGTCAGTAGTAACGAGATACTTCATTCCAGTTCCTATCTACTTTGCTTCTGCGAAAGAATCGCGATATTTCTGGATTCAATTGCAGCTTCAATCCGTACAAAAGCCACCCCTATACTTTAACAGATTTCGCTCGAGGATCTCGAACCCCTTTCCAAAGACGCAAACGATTTCGAAGTTTTGCTGGAAAATAATTTGCCAGCTGCTCGCTGAGCAAACATCGACATGCTATCTCAAAGTCGACGAAGATGTCCCAAAACGTTGCCCGGTCGTAAGTTCATAGAGTTGAACTCTTCGTTTCACGATAAACTAGCTGCGGCCGGAAGTTCTGGCTCTGCAGAGAGGAACCTGCCTTCCTGAAAGCGCACGGAATACTGATAGGAGCTCGTGTAAACCTGTAACACTCCCTATCACACCTTCCTCTTTCGTCATTCACCCCAAACACTGCGATTATTCTAGAGAACCACTGTTGGCTGTTCGAAACCATCAAAGAAGCAAATTTTTCACAATAATCAAAAATATTCTAATAGAATATTCACAGATTATTTCTAATAAACATCGCGATGGCTCGTTGAATTTTCGGTTGGACGAATAGCAAGAAATTTATGGAGCTACCAAAAAAGAAAAAAAAAAATAATAAAATTGTACGAGGAGGATACAGGTACATAAAGAGGAATATTGTCGTAAGTGAAGGAAATAAAAATAGAATATAGAAGGGTCGCGTTATGGTGATAAATACATCGTACTTTGATTCACGGAAATGTCATTCATAAACCTGGTATATCGATTAGACATTCGAGTTAACCCTGCTGTGACATTTGAGTCGTTTTCCATCGGATCGTATTTTTCTACCCTTCGAAAGTTTCTTAAACTTGGGGAAAACACGGGGAAGAATGTATTTATAAAGTTATATTTATAAAGTAACAATCGTGTGCTACAGATTTTATTAAAACATTGAAAGATTTTTCCTCGTTTAAAGTTGAAACTGAAGTAAAGCCGAGGCATAAAATACTATTACGGAAGCCAGAAGCATAATTATTTATACTATACGCTACATTCTTATTAAATGTTCAATAATTTGTAATAAATATCTTGTAATTTCTATAAATACGTATCTTCGGATTTGCCTGAAACTTCTCCAACACAATCATGATAATCAAGTCTCACGATGGTGCTAATGAAATTTCAAGATTTATCGTACACATAATATATTCATAGGAAGTGTCTACAAGTGTTCGAATAATTTCGTGGCCTGTGTAAATCCTTCGAGGACCGTGGCAGGGGTTAAAGAGGGGTTGTAGTTACATAAAGACGACGAAGAAGTATACTTGAGCAACCGAGGTATTTAAGCAGCCAGGGTTAAACAGGGGTCGTAGTTACATAAAAACACACTCAAGTGTACTTGAGAAACCAGGGTATCTAAGCAACTAAGGATTAAACAGGGACTGGTAGTTATATAAAAACACATCGAAGTGTACTTCAACAGCCAAGGTGTTTAGTCTCTAGAATAGTCGATGATGAACCTTTTCCCCGTATTGCGAAACGTCGAACGAAAAACGGGGCCGGCCAGGTGGCTGCTACTTTCAGCTGCTGCTAAAACGTGACCCGACACTAGATTATCGGCCGTCGTGATTGGGTATTCGTTCGAAATAAATGGCCGCTAATGGTATTTCTGGTAGGTGTCTCGGCCGATAATGCGCGTATCCGGTGCAGCTAGCATTAAAGCGACGAAAACAGCGCGTTGCTAGCCACTTCGTTGCCTCTGTCTCGCTAATGATTCAACGTTTTAATCGTTCTCGTCAAACTGTCCACGTCTGCGAGCGGATCATCGCCGTTTGGATCACGTACCACCGGGATAAGGCATTCTAGACGAGCAACGTCGCGCATGCAGACGATGCAACAACGATGGTGTGCGTCGTCGTCCGCTGAGATTGGCCTTGCCTAGAGATTTCAGGTATGAGCCAAATTTTCCTACGAATTCACAGCCTCCAGTGACTTTTGTGCCATGATAAATTACTGATTCATTGTTTACGAAGGATGTGGTAGAGGCGGGTTGGCGCTCGTGCGGATATAATATTCGAGGCTGATATATTCCAGCTTTGTCACGAGAAATACACTGGGAAATTTGTTTTGTTATTTAAGGGAGGAATTATTTTTGCTTGAAAATGATCAAGTTACGTTAAGTATACGTTACTGATAGACGGCAGATGTTTATGCATTTAGAGAAAATCTAAAATTGTGATAAATGTGTATTGTATGAAAATTACGTATTTACTGGATGCAATTAAATTCTTTATCTGGCTTCTATCTGTTTTTAATAAATACATAAAATTATACATTTGCATAAGCATCCGCAATCTGCTTATTAACGATGAACCAGTATTTCTAGAAGGATTTTCTTCTCTTCGTATCTCTATAGATTCTCATAAAAAGCTGTTACCTAAAGCTAGAGATTTTTAGTATTCTACGTATAATAAATTATTATCTAGAAGATTGGGTATTTTCAAAGAAATCATGCATACAATAAAAATTCTAATATTATTCTGCAATTCGCATCGAATCAAACCGTGACACTTTTGTATTATTCAAGAGCGAGGGGCATTTAATTTTGGCAGAGTATTCTCTTGTATTTTTTAACTACTCTATTTACCATAACTTTCTACCTACAGGAATATTCGCTTGTATTCTTTAACCACTCTATTTACCATAACTTTCTACCTGAAAGATTACGTATTTCAAAAAATCTTGCATCCCCGCTTAATACATATTCTAATATTATTCCGTCATTCATATCGAATCAAACCGTAATACATATTACTTTATTATTCAAAAGCCTGGGGTATCTTTCTAACCAAAATGTTTCGGAATTGATCGTAGAGAAACGAAAACATGCGCATAAATTGTCCATGAAGTGTAAACATCTGTGCTCGCGTTCCTCATCCAGCAAAAAAAGGGACGTGTTCGACGAACTGTGATATCGTATCATTGCTTGTCAAGCGCAGAGGCATTTCTTTTTTCTGAACGTCTTCCATGTTATCGCAGTGTGTTTTGGTTTTCACTCGGCCGAATAAACAATTCGTGAATCGTAGAATTCGACACAGGTCGGATTTGAGGTGTGTTTGGGTCGCGTTATTACTCGTCATTGTACGCAGTTTAGTATTCGCTCAGCCTTCGAAGTGCGCGTACGTACCATGGCGTTCTCTAAAATTTCTAGAATATTTATAATTACGTTACTTTTATTAACTGTTGGCGTGCCATGCTCGTTTTACGATCGCGGTTACGTGTTAAACCGATATATTTATTAATTTTAAACACGCGAGTGCTGTAATCACAAGGTTTGGCGTACCCTCCGGCAATATCCCGTAATCTGACAATGAGTGAGTAAGCCCGACAGAAATTTTCCAATATTTAATACCATCGTAAACTTTTTATAGCTGTATAATAGCATACGTTATATAATAGTCAATATATTCATTATCGTTATTAAAATCGTCGAATAAAGGCAGCGATTGATCGAAGTGGTATATGACGAAATTTTAACTTGAGAAAATTGTGAATTTATTAATTAATCTTTAGAGTGGAAATATTTTTACGGTACCCTTAAGTTCAAAACGCGAAACTTTCGTGCTTGATGCGTTTCTCAGTAAGCAATACTCGCACAAAAATTCACGTAACATCTTCAAACGTTCTAAATTAAGGTTATCATAAAGCTTTTGTGAAATAACATTTTTTGCGAGAAATTCGAGTCTGTCGAGATAGCCCGGGCACGCAATACTCGCTTTTACAGTTTAAGGGTTAAATTTTAACAGAGAAATCTATGGTCTAGTAGAAAGGTCTATTCTAAAGATTGAAACATATCGTTATGTACATGCAATATTATTTATAAAAATTTAGAAGATCGTAGCAAAGCGTGATAGATAAATATCTGATCAAAAAATGCACCTGTGCTACTATTTTCTCGTCGAAGCATCGATTAATTAAAATATTTTAATATTAAAATATTTTAAAATTAAATATTTTAATATTAATTTGATATCAAATAATAGGAACTAGGAATAGATAGATAATTAACAATACAAAATTAGGTACATTCATTCTCGTTAGTGCAGGAATTGAATAGAGTCCAATCGGATGAAAAGCGGTAGAAACCATAACTTAAGAAAGTAAACTTTTAATGGAGACATCTGCATGCATTTAAACATTAAAACGCATTGTTACGCTTATTCATAAAGGCCTGAAAATTCCTAAGAAAGCTCCCCATAGTCCAAAACGCTTGCAACACATTTCCATTTCCAACCCATTAATTTAATTATCGCATTTTCATTAAAACAATTGAACATTTCGTTGCTTAACTAAACGACGAAAGCCAGGTATTATTTCCTGTAGAAAAAAAAACAAAAAAGAAAAAAAAAGAAAGAATTTGCGCGAATAGGAACGTTCGTTTGTATCCAGAGAATGCTTTCGAATCGAAAGGAGGCTTTACTCTTGCGTTTTTCGCTCTGCCGATAGTAACAAAGAAATTTATGCGTTCCCATTCGAGGCTTTTATTCAAGCCGCACCTTCCATTTACCCGGTGTACGGATCGAGAGGCGTCCGGTTAACGATTCTAGAGTCAACGAAGCTTCGTTCTTCGCCGAGAACTCGGTTAATTGTGCCGATAGTTTCGTTTCATTAGCGACTAAGCTATCAAATCGTTTTGCCATCGAATACAGGATTTACTGATCGTGAGTCCACTTGAGCGAAGAATAAACGAACTTGCCGCGAAACACCAATGGTATATGTGCAAATAAGAATAGAAATTTCGCCAGAGCACGCGAATACACGGTTCAACTGCAAAGATAAAGCATCGAGGGGTTTACACCGAACAGGAAACCCCTTTGGCAATCTGAGCTTACCCTCCACGTCGTATTTCCTTCTGTTTCGCATCTTTTTGTCTCGTCGCTGTAATATTTATTCCGTCCTTTATTCTATTTACACGCGAGCGTCATCGAAACGATACACCGTCGTCGATTAATATTTCATTCGGCTTCGATCCGATCGGAGGTCGACCTCCGACATTCGTACTTGACACATTACGTAAGAACATAAGAAACGTAATTTCATAATCAACTTGAATCGTGGCTCCTTATCCCTCGAGGACGAAACGTTTTAACTCGTTGACTGCCACGTGAGTTTTATATAGTTTGACGTGGGAGTCGTGATAGATCGAAACACGCTATATCATGGCATTTAAATTTTGATAAATATTACACTGTATTTTGTGCAATTTTATCTGACGATGTTATGTAAATCGTTTATATTGGTGAGAATTTTTTAGTCCACGAAATTTGTCTTGTTCGAATCATTCTAAAAGATTTAGTGACTTGTTAATTAATCAACTTGTATTAGTTTTCTTTTATATTTCTATTGAAAATAAATAGTTATAACGATGTTTCTTATTAGACATATCTTAAGCAATGAAACAGTACGTAGGAAATAAACGTGTTCTTTACTTTCAGTGTATGTGATTTCCATCGAAATGTTCTAGTAATAACTTTCCCTGGAATAATTTTGCTATTTTTGCAATCTACGCGTTCAAACGATTCGATTAATGTATGTATAATATGTCGTATTTCACAAAACATGGCTTTGCTAGAAACATGCATATAAAGCGAAAGACAAAATTAATTAATTACGAAATTATTAGTTACGCGAAAGTTATTAGTTTCGTCGTTTGCGGGATTAAGTTTCGATCGTAAGATAAATATTATGTTCGGCGATGAAAGCATTATCGTAGACGAATTACTCGTTTGATTTTCAGCGAAAGCTATAACGAAAGAAAAATACCAACCTATTTACAAATACGTATTTCGAATTGAAATCTTCTTTTCGTGACGTTTTGTTATTATTAAAGATATTAAAATATTGCTTCGTTACAGTTTCTCGTGAAACTTTATCAATCTGTGAACTATTTTTAGAAACCGTCATCGTCGATCCTAGCAGTTTAAACTAACTTTTTATTTTCAACTATGTTGTATTAAGATATTACATTTTAGTGACAGAGAGACATCGATACAAGAAAGACAACAAGAATTTTTCAGATTTTACGAAATATCAAAGTCTCATTAAAAATGGAATGTGAAGTTTGCCCTCTGAGAACTTAACTTTTCAGTCGAAACTTATACTCATGAAATACTTATCGAATAAAATTCAACGACACCAATTTTAAGTTTTAGCAACCTTGTCGTTCAAAAGTGACTGTACGAAAAAGGTAACAAAATTTTGTATGGCTTTCTTCCTCATATGCGTGTTAGATAGATCGTTCGTCTTTGTCGTTACTATGAGCGTCACTGGACACTGTCTCGTGGAAATAGAAAAGTACGAGTAATATTCGTCTAGCTTAGGCTATACATCTCTGCACTTGTGCAACCTTCGTGATAGATGTTATTTAGCAAATTATAAATTTATACTAAAGCGATATTCCGTTACTCTGAGCACGATACGTGTTTAAATAAATAACACGACTTTTACCGTCTAATTAGTTATCACGTTAAAACAAGTCATGCAGTACGTCAAGAATAAAAATAACTTTTGAACCAATGGATTGCTAAACTCGAAACTGTCATAGTTCGTTTCTATTCATTTGTCATGAGAAAATGCACAGAAAGTTAAAAAAAAAAAAAAAAGAAAGAAAGAAAATAATCTCTAAGAGGAAAAGTTTGCCCAAAATGGACGTCGAAAAACGTTTTTGAACTTTCGGCTAATGGTTTCGAATCGATCTTGCAAAAAGCTTGTCGTATCATCAACGAACGTGCGCGATATTGAAACTCATTGAAAGTTGCTGATTCTATTCAACTTGCGTACGAATCTATCGAGCAAGTTTTCCATTGAAGGTGTTTGATCGATCAAAGTGTGTCTTATCTCGAAAGTCAAGGGTGAAGAAAGATCAAGGAAATTTTCTTTGAAGAATAGTCA